ATTTATCTGGCTCTCAATGAAACTTTAAGCCCAGTTTATTTGACCATTAATGAAGCTTTAAGCCCAGCTTATCTGGCCATCAATGAAGCTTTAAGCCCAGTTTATTTAACCTTAAATGAAGATTTAAGCCCAGTTTATCTGACCATTAATGAAATTTTAAACTCAGTTTATCTGGCTATTAATGAAGATTTAAACCCAGTTTATCTGGCTATTAATGAAGCTTTAAGCCCAGTTTATCTGACCATTAATGAAGCTTTAAGCCTAGCTTATCTGGCCATCAATGAGGTTTTAAGCCCAATTTATCTGACCAACAATGAAGTTTTAAACCCAGTTTATCTAGCCAACAATGAAGATTTAAGCCCAGGTTATCTGGCCATCAATGATATTTAAGTCCAGTTTAGCTGACATTTAATAAAATTTAAGTCAAGTTTATTTGACCTCAAAAGAAGTTTTAGAGTTTCAAAGTTCTATCAAGAATAAAAATTCTCTATGCATAACCTTTTGAAAGATCTTGCATTTGCATTACTTGTATCATAAGAAAGACATTTAACCTAAAAGAAAAAGAGATATTCAAATTTACATCGCTTATCTGTGCATCATGAAAGGGATATTTGCATTTGCATCACTTATATCTGTACTACAAGAAAGACATTCGCATTTGCATCACTTGCATTTGCATTTACACAAGATATTTGCATTCACACCATAAAAAAAAATTCATATTTGCACAACCATGGCATCCGCATCCTAAAAAAAGATATTTATAGAAGCATTTACATGAAAAGAACATCGTCATTGTCAAATATAGTTGCATCAAGCATTCGCATTCTTGCATTTGCATTGAGATTTGTATTTTTATCAACATTTTCATTAGCATCATTTGATCAAGATGGACATTTGTATCATTGATTGCATTCATTAACTCTGATTGGAAAAAAATATATTTTCAAAAAAATTTTTTTTTTCAAATTTTTAAAGTTTCATCGCCTCTGATTATGAGGAGCATTTAAAGATTTTGAGATTTGTAAGACCTCCAGGCATAAATTCGATTCGCGGTGTTATCCCAATCAATTTTTTATTTTTTGACTTACGGTGTTATCCTAATCAATTCTGTAAGACCTCCGAGCATTATTCTGTAAGATCTCCGGGCATGATTTTTAAGACCTCCGGACATAAATTCGATTCGCGGTGTTATTTCGATCGATTCTTTATCTTTCGACTTGTGGTGTTATTCCAATCAATTCTGTAAGACCTCCGGACATGATTTCTAAGACATTTGGACATAAATTTGATTCGCGATGTTATCCCGATCAATTCTATAATTTTGACTTACGGTGTTGTCCCAGTCAATTCTGTAAGACCTCCGGGCATAAATTCAATTTACGGTGTTATCCCAATCGATTCTTTATCTTTCGACTTGTAGTGTTATTCCAATCAATTCTGTAAGACCTCCGGGCATAAATTTGATTCGTGGTGTTATCCCGATCAATTCTATAATTTTGACTTACGATGTTATCCCAGTCAATTCTGTAAGACCTCCGAACATGATTCTGTAAGATCTCCGGGCATGATTTCTAAGACCTCCGGACATAAATTCAATTCGCGGTGTTATCCCGATCGATTCTTTATCTTTCGACTTGTAGTGTTATTCCAATCAATTCTGTAAGACCTCCGGACATGATTTCTAAGACCTCCGGGCATAAATTTGATTCGCGGTGTTATCTCGATCAATTCTATAATTTTGACTTACGGTGTTATCCCAGTCAATTCTGTAAGACCTCCGGACATAATTTTTAAGACATCTAATCAATTCTGTAAGACCTCCGGACATGATTTCTAAGACCTCCGGACATAATTTCGATTCGCAGTGTTATCCTGATCGATTCTTTATTTTTGACTTATAGTGTTATCTCAATCAATTCTATAAGACCTCCAGGCATGATTTGTAAGACCTCCGGGCATAAAATCGATTCGCGATGTTATCTCACTGGATTCATTATTTTTCGACTTGCGGCGTCATCCCAATCGTTTTATTTTTATTTTTTTTCAATAAATAAATAAATAAATAAATAAAAGATCATAATTTATTTTCGGACAAAATCGTTGTCTTTGTCTTTGCCCTATTCCTGATTCTCAGTAATGTGCAAAGAAGGGTAACTGTAGACATCGATTTTGTCCGGATCTACTATTTCCATTTTAAGTATATTAATACTAATAATAATAATACAATAATAATAAAATATATATTAATTAAAAATTAAAAAAAAAGAAATAAGACAAAAGTCAAGGGGTTGGTACGACGTCAAACCAACCTTCGACCAACTACCCAACCAGCCACCCTATGGCCACCAACTAACTATCCTACAGTCACCTAGATCCCCCTAATTGAAGCCTTTAAAAATCTCCAGCCATTTCCCCTTCAAGCGGGGGGAAAAAGAAAGTTGGCTCGAATCCCCTTCAACCTCTCTCTCAGATACCCTTTCTGGAGGCTCGAATTCCCTTCAACCTCTGGGAACCCCCTCTTTTTCGAAATCTCTCTCGAACGCACAGGAACCCGTTCACTTCATCCCTACCAAAAATCACCAAACGAGCTACCCCTCCCTCAAAACACTCTTAAACACCCAAAATACCCAAAAAGAAACCACACCAACCGAAAAAAAAAAAAACAAAAAACATAAACAAAAAAATAACACAGTCATTGTCGAATCGATGAGGAACCCAGCGTCGAAGCTACCTGCAAAAGCAAAAAAAAGAAATTGCATCAGTCCTGTTTCCACAAAACAAACAAAAAAAAAATTTTTAAGCAGAAACTTTGAGCCCCGATCTACGCTGATCGGGGTTGTTTCCGATGAAAAAGAGATCATATATGGAAAGAGGGCGTCTAGAGGAGTCTTCGGTGACCTTCTCACCATTTTTCGGCACCGGTGACCACTGCCGACGGTAGACCAGGCGACGACCGACGCGCTGCTCCGACGGCCGTATAGCGACCAGCCTGCGGACCTCTCCCCCAGCTCTCTCTCTCCCTCTCTCCTTTTTTTTTTTTTGAAACAGACCAAATAAACAAAAAAAAAATTTCAAGTTATTTATAGAAAAAATTAAAAGCAAAACGATGTCGTTTTGGGCATAAGGCCAAAACGAAGCCGTTTTCAACCAACAAGGATCCACGAGTGGATCCGGATCCGACCTGAGATCCGTCAACCCGCTTCAGCCAACCAGTGAACCGGTCTGAGCCGATTTGAACCACTGGACCGCCCGAACCGTCGATCGAACCGCAGAACCGGTCCAAACCAGCGTTGACCGGACCGTTGACCTATCCGGTTCAGGTAAAAAAATATTTTTTTTTTAATTTTTTTATATATTATTATTTTTGTTATTTTAAATATATTTTTTATATTTATGCATGATAAATTTATAAATTTGTTAGAATAAATGTTTAATTGTTTTAATAGTAATAAAATTAAAAATGAATAATAATTAAAAATATATTAAAATGCTCAAAAAAATAATTTTTACATAGATGTTGGAGGGAATAAAAATATTTTTCTAAAGAAATAATTATGTCTAAATATTGGGGAATTATTAATAAATTTTCATAAAAAATATATATATAAGAAATTTTTAATTAGTTTTCAAAAATTATAAAAAATTGAACCTACTCTGAAAGTCTGCCTAAATGATGGGAATTTTTAGAAATATTCGCGTTTTACCTAAACCTTAAACAATAATTTTTAATTTTCAAAATTCTAAGTTTTTAAAACCCCTAAAAATTCAAAATCCCTGAAATCTAAAGTCCTAAAAATTCTAAAGACACGTGTGAAAATTTTATTTAAAGCAATTTGTTCCCGAATGCCGCCTAGATGATGGGGTATTTAGGAAATTTTACTTCGTTAAGTCTTTTCACACGATTTCTTAATTTACATTAATAATAAGATTAATAAATAAAAAGAATAACAGTAAATTGAGATTTTAAATATAAACAGTTACACATAAGCTCTGCCTAGATGTTGAAAAGTCGAGATAGTCTCATTATACTTAAGAATCCAACTCTTAAATTGTATTTCATAACATTTATTGACATACATACGTTAGCATGTTATTATCAGTATTTATTTGTACTATTCTGTTTTTAATTTTTATTTGTACTACTTTTAAAAAAAATTATGATATTACAAAATAATATAAAAATAACATTCCGAAAAAAATAATTCTTGGTACTCTACCTAGATGTTAAAAAGTCACCAACAATTTTCTATAAAGAGTACTATTTCATTTTAAAGATTGTTGTGTTAAATCTTAAGTAAAACGAGTTATTTTACATTCTACCTAGACGATGGAGAATTTTAAAATAATTCTTTAATTTAAAGATTTTCTTAATAGTTCTGAATAAATATTTTGACAATTTTATTTTTATTTTTTTTTAAGTGAAGGAAATTAATGTTAAATTTCAAATTAAAATCATTTCTATCCAACATCGAAAATAGTGTATAGTTGAATGATACCGATTTATTGGCGTTATGGGAGTGCTAATCCTTCCCCACACGTAACCGACTCTCAGACCTAACCTGATTTTTCGTTGATCAAAATTTATCTTTTTGATAAACTTTAAACCCGTTTTTATAGTTTTATTAAAAGGATAAACTTTTGGGTGACCAATCACATCCTAACAAAAATTGATAACGACTCTCTTTTTTATTTTTCTCGATTTTAAAACACATCATCATGTTTTACGTCTGACGGTCCCAAAACCGTTACAACTTGACGACTTTCTCTTTTTTATTTTTTTTAATTTTAAAACACATCATCATGTTTTACATCTGACGGTCCCAAAACCGTTACGACAAATCTCACTTAAAAATTTAAAAAATTTTATACGCAAAATCATTTAAAAAAAAAGAAAAATAGTTTTGAAATTTTGCTTAGTATCTTTTTTCGGATTTAATGAGAAAATTAGTACATTAAATAAAAAATTATTTTAAAAATAACAATTTAATTAACCATAACAAGTATCCCTACGCGTACGTTGATTAAATGGTGTTAAAAAAGAAATCACAAGTTCACAAGAACTTTGAAAATTGTACTTTTGTTTGAAGGTTCATTTGCGTCGGGACATCATTTCATCAGAAAATATAAGTGAGTCTGATGAAAATTTCTCTCGTCAGAATGAACTCTTAAATTTTTATAGTTAATTAGTCAGTGGTTGTGTGCCCCATCTAATTCAAGCAATCCATATAAATTCACTTTCTTTCCTTGTTTCCTTACCTCTGTGGATTGCCAAATAACTGTAAACAGCCAAAAGTAAAAAGGATCAAAAACAAAGAAACAATCAATAATGAGGATGAAGAAAGAGCAAAAGAAAAAGAAGAAAAAGGAAAAGAGACAACCACCCCAGAGAATGTCTAAATTCCTGAGTACATTCCAAACACAAAATACCAGCCTCACCGACAATCACACAATACAATTTTCTATATATTCTCATCACCTTTCCCTACCTAATCAATACTTATTTTATTTCTTTTCCTCCTAATTTTTTTCTCCCTGTTAAAATTTTGCAATCAGTTGCCCAATTGTTTTCATGAACTAAAATCTATGTAAGCAAGAGGCAGGCATAAAGACAAAAATTAATAACACTACATGATTAAAACAAACCAACCAAAGAAAAGAAGTTGAACCTGGAATGCACATAATTTATTTACACAACATCACAATTCCAAAAAAAAAAAAAAAAAACCTCAGAAGCATATGTAATCATAAGTCACTTTCAAAGTAGAACCATATGAAACATGTAAGGAGAAGGAATTATTACCCGATCATTGGAAGATTGCTGTTTGTTGTAGAGATCCCAAGTGACCCTGAGACAATCTGGGAGGTTGATGCAACCATAGAAGAACCTACTGCAAAATCCAAAACAACTAAACATTGCGAACTGCTATTGCATCTCCAGCCAGCCCAAAGCCCCCCCACATGCCTTGCATTTATAACCACCTGAAACCAAAGGTAACTTCTCTCTGCATCCTCAACTGGCATTCCAACATACCTTGTATCTTTCATCTGGCAGCTATTTTTCAATACTTTGCCAGATGGATTGAAACATGGAACACTTTTCGCTGTTTAAGCACATGAAACTCCAGAAAGAGAATTTGCACCCTTAGCTTTTCCATTTACAAGTATATCATAAGTAGTGTCATCAGGTACAAGACCTCTATCAAGCATTTCTTTATGCAATCTCAAAGCCTCTTCTAAATTCCCTTCCTTAAAGTGTCCAGCAATCAAAGCATTATATATAAGAGCGTTAGGAGTAATACCTTTTCCATCCATCTCTTCTAAAATCTTGTGAGCATTCTCAAGCTGTCCTTTATTACAAATACCATTTAACAGAACAGAATAAATGACTATATCAGGCACAATCCCCCTGGCAAGCATCTCTGAGTAAAGATCAGATGCAAAGGCTACTTTACCCTCTCTCAAGAATCCATCAATTAGAGTAGTGTATGTTAGCAGATCACAAGGAACTCCTTCATTTATCATTTTCTTGTGCAAGTCATTAGCTGCTTCCATATTATTTACATTCCTAAACCCACTAATCATGCTGTTGTAAACAACTGTATTTGGAGATAATCCAACTTGTTGGAGTTCAGAGAAAAGCTCACATGCTCTGACCATGTCTTGATTCTTGCAAAGCCCATCAATGAGGGCACCGAATGCGGGGACATCCAATTGAAGACCTTTGCTTTTCATCTCACAATGCATTTTCAGAGCAAGATCAATGTTATTGCTTTTGCAAAATCCATTAATCAAGGTGGTATAGGTGACAACATTTGGAGAACTTTCACTTTCACGCATTTCTCTATAAACTTCTAAGGCGGAGTTCATGGCACCTTCCTTGATGAACCCATTAATAATGCTATTGTATGTCAAACATGTAGGGATAAAACCCTTATCAACAAACTTCTTCAACATATCCCTTGCCTCAGATGGACGACCATTTTTGCTCAAACCATTAATGATTATGTTAAATGTGATGTCTGAGGGGGCAATATTCACACCCACCATTTCTTCAAACAAATCTAAGGCCTGTTCAGCATCACCTTTTCTGAAATGCCCATCCATTAATGTAGAATATGTGATGACATTAGGTTTAAAGCCCTGTTCAAGCATCTCTGAAAATACAGTACGTGCCTTATCCATATTTCCTGTTCTACAGTAGGCTAGTATCATGTTATTGTAAGAAACATTACTTGGTACCAGGCCATTAGCCACCATTCTCTGCCATAAACTGCAAGCTTCATTCACCTTACCATCATTACAGAAATGGTATAAGAAAATATTATATGTAAAAACATTGGCAATGCCATACTCAACCGCCTCATCAAACAAATTAGATGCCTCTTTCAGTAAGCAAGCTTCTAAGAATCCACGAATCAAGGAATTCACATTAAAAACAGTAGGTTGAATATCCATGAGTTTCATTTCTGTATAAAGCTCATATGCCTTTTTCACATTTTGATTCCTACAACACCATTCAATCAAAACTGTATAGGTAACCTTGTTAGGACTAAGCCCATCCTCCTTAATCTTATTAAACAAATCCAAAGCACTACCAATATCCCCTTGCTTACAGTATCCCTTCATTAAACTAGTGGCAACCACCAAATTCAACTGCTTCCCACAACTCAACATCTCATCCTTGAGCCTCAACGCCTCTGCGAAATTTCCATGCTTCATGAAAGCCCCAATAACAGTTGTAAACGTAACCTCAGAAGGAACCCATCCCCTATCCCCCATTTCCCTCAACAACTCACCAGCCATATTCAAATCAGGTTTCTGACAAGCAGCCTGAATAACAACACTATAAACTGCGGCATCAAGTTCCATCCCTCTAGCCTTAGCTTCCCGGAAAAACTCCTCCGCTTCCCAAGGCCTCCCTTCTTTCAAAAAAGCACGCATCATCACGTTAACTGTAAAACAATCACCTCTAACTCCCATAGAAACCATCTTATCATACAACTCCCTAGCTTTATCCATCAAATTCCTCCTGACCAATGTTGTCAAAAGAATATTCATAAAGGGCACCCAAGGAACTATATCACGGTCTATCATTCCATTAAAACAATTCACAGCATCATGGATCCTGTTAACTCTAACGTAACTATTCAACAAGTAATTAAAAGTTCGCGAATTGAAATCAAAATCAAACCTCTTTCTGGTATCAATCAAGTGATCTAAAAAAACAACAGGGCCAGGTCCTGAATCGCCTGAAAGAAAGTTAAGCAAATATTGAGCTTGTTTATAAGTCTGTGGGGATCCTACCAAAATGTGAAGCAGAACACAGAAGACATCGATGCTCTGTACAAAACCCGGCTTCTTTTCGACAGAACGGAAGTACTTCAAAGCCGATTTTGGATCGTTTTTGTGGCGCAGAAGAGTGTTTATCACATGCGTTTCGTTTAAGCTTCTATCTTGCATTAAGGATGATGTTAAATGGGAGTCACTGGATATGGGTCGAATTGGGTTTCCAGAAAAATTGGAATCTGAGATGGGAAACCGTGAATCTGAGGTGATTTTCTCAGGAAAATTGGTGTTGGGATTGGGATTGGGATTCTGGGGAAATGGCGTTTGTGGCTGAGAGCAAAGAGATTTGGAGCTTGGAAAAGAACGGAAAAGGAAAGGTGGGATTGATGAAGAATTTTTGAATGGAGACTTCATTTTGCTTCGGGTTTTGGGTTCGCTCAGTGGACAAGAGATACAAAACTCATGTAAAACTCAAAACTTTTTTAAACCCAATTCTTTTAGTACCTTAAACCCTGATTTTGAATTAAGTATAATTTCTCAGGGATTGGCTTTTAGATATAGAAAACTAGCGGTGTAAAATGGGTTTTTTTCCTTTTATTCTTTTCGTCAAAACATGTACCATTTGACAATACTATATTCTCCCTCTCTCCCTTTTTTTTTTTCATTTTAGTTTAATATTTCAAAATTATATCCTTTTTTTCTTAACATTTAAAATTTTTTATTTTTTTATATATTTAAATTTATTTTTTTATTTTTTAATATTTAAAAACATGAAATTTTAATTTTAAAATTAAATATATTAAAATAAAAAAATTTAAACTCGTATGAAAAATGCTAATCTCGTTTACTTGAAGATTTCACTTTTTTTTTTTACTTTTCATTAGTTTTTACATAATAAATAAATAAATAAAAATTTAAATTCATGTTGTTATTTTTTAATTATTTAAATAATAAATAAATTTATATTGTTGACTTTTTTATTTGTTAATTTTTTAATTTTTACTTAAATATTTTCAAATTATTTATTTTTATTAACTCTCTCATTATTTATTATTTATATAAAAATAATTTAATGTTTTTTAATTATTTATTAATTTTATAAATATTAAATAATTAAAATTTTTTATTACATATAAATTTTAATCTATATCCTTAATCATCATTTTATCATTTCACTATACTTAATTTTACCATTATTGTTATATTTATATCTAAACACATATCTCACAATTAATTTTAAATTTTTTTCAAAATAAAACAAGAATAAAAGATAAAAAAAAGAATAAACTGGATTTATTCCCAAAAAATACCAAGGGAATTTCCAAGAAAATATCATAATTCCAAAATACTTAAATTACTATATATTTTATATATATGAAATGTAAAAAATACTTAATTTTAAATTCCAAGTTAGGATAATTAATAAAAATAAAATTAATAAACTTTTTTTTCTAAACATGCCAACAATATAACTATGATATTACTATATATTTTATATTTGTAAAATTATAAAAGTAATCACACCATTTAAAATTCTAAAATTTGACTGTGTGCCATTACATTAAACTTTCTTACCCGTAATTCCATTATAAATGTTGATAATTGTCCTGGAAATAGAGTAATTACTTAACCTGATAAATGAGTTCTGTTCTGATATCTGCAATAGTAATTTGTAACTTAAGTAGTTCTTGTTGCTTTGATGCTTTCCATGGTCTCTTTGTTTTTTTTTTTTTTAGATGCAAAAGAAGAGGTAATCAAAATTTTTCTCTAGAATTTGTTTTATGTTGCCTTTTTCAGTTGAATTTCACAGCATCAAGCCAATCCGTTCTTGCAACGCTTTTCAATTCCTAAATGTTTCAGTCAAGTAGCTACATATTAAGGTACCATTTTGCACGTAGAAATTGTTTGAAAAATATTAACAATTTAAGGGAAACAAAAAAAGGTTTAGAAAATGGGATATAAAAAATCATTTAATTTTGCTAAGAACACTGTCTATCATGGTAAGCATAGATTGAATTTATGTTTTATGTGTTTGTTTTTCTCTTTAAAAATTTTCTTCTATTTTTCCCCAATCTAACTGACGATGGAATTGATAGGCTATTCCCTTTTCTATAATTTATAATTTTTTTACAAATATAAATATATAGTAAAATAATAGTAGCATTGGCACTGTCTTCAGCTAGGGTTTAAGGCTTTCGGCTTGATTTTGTTATGATATTTATGTTGCTCTCTGGCACTGTCTTCGGATTATGTGTAATTGTATTCTCGTTCCAAAGAGTGTTTGTGATTTCCTGTGCTTTTCTTTACTAATCTGGGATTCTGATCCAATGCAATCATTGATTAGGTTAGTTATGTATTTGCTTTTATGGCTAGGATTTGGGTTTCCTTGTTAGATCTGTGAACTGGAATACGCCGTCGTTTCTGCAAATTTGTAATGTATCGTGTTCCAATATATATGAGATCTACTGGGCCAGCTCATCACTCTGTTGGTTTCTTCCTCTGCTGAATTTAAAGGTATCTGGGAATGGCAGCTACAGCTGCATCATCAACAGCCTCAAGAGGATGGCTGAGCAACATTTCGTCAATGTTATCTCGGATTTATTTCTTTCTTATCATTCTTCAGATCCCTCTTTTCAGGTCAAACTCCTTTTATTTTTGTTTTCTTCTTAATTCCAACTCTCCCTAGATTCATAAACTCGTATCCTAAGTTGCTTCTCAAACTGGGTATTTCTTAGATTTTTTTTTCTTCATGTTTTGGCATCTGGGTTTTGGCGATTTCAACATTTTAGGTTCATTTGTTGCTCTACTGTTCTACTTTTTTAGCTTTGCTGGTATCTTTTTTAGTTGCACTCTTTGCTTTTAAGTTGTTTTTTTTTTTTTTTCTATCAGAAACTAATTATAAAATTTATTTAATATAAATCATATTTAGTGTATAAGATGATTATCATCATCTTTATATTATGTTTGATTTATTTATAAAAAAATAATAAAATTATAAAAAAAATTAATCATCTTTTTAATATAAAATGATTCACTCTTATTAAAGTAAAAATAATTATTTTTAATTAATAAAATTAAATTTATATTTTTATTATATTTTTAAAAATTACATTAATAACGTAAATTATATAAACTTTAAATAATGATAATTTTGATTAATAAATAAATTATTTTATCTTAATTTTTATATATATTAAATATAAGATAAAATTAATTAAATTAATTTTATGCATAATATTATTTTATTCAATTCTATCATAATATTTTATGTGCCAAAAACATCTTTTAACTTATTTAGACATTCTCTGTTGATTGTTGAGATCTGTTTTTCAATTTGGATTAGATAAAAGAAGCGGTGAATGAGAAAAAAAGCACTGGGAAGAAGCTATCAAAAATGAGAGCTTTTGCTGCCATGTGGATCCTGTAAGAATGTTGTTTTATGATCAGGTTGACTTTTGGAGATATAACATTTGAAGGTATTTGACCAACTGAGGAGGGTTTTTATGAAATGTTTGGTTCCAGAGAATCTATATATATTTTTTAAAAATTTTATTATTAAATATTTGATTTTAATGTTTAATTCAAAATAATTTGTTTTTAGAGAAAAATGATAAATTTTTAACGGTACTTAAAGTTTTAAAATCAAAAACTTATTTTTTTATGATCTTTTAAGATTTTGAAAAAAAGTTATATTATTTTCAAATTTAACTTGAAAAAAATTATAAAATAACTGTTATTATTTTGAAAAGTATATTTGAAAGTAACTACAAATCAATTGTAAGTTTTTTTTGTTAATTTTTTTTATATTATAATTAATAGTGTTTGACATGAAAAATACTTTAAATAATCTTCAAAAAAATTAAACAAAATTATTTAAGGTATTTTTAGTCAAAAAAACATCTTAAATAATTTCTTAAAAAATTGATCAACGTCAACGCATTAAATAACCTAAAAAAAAAATCTTACAAGTAATCTTAAAAAATAAACACTAAAGGAAAGAGTCAAACAAATGACCTTATTTTTTTATATTTTATCTCTTAAATCTTATAAAAAAATGAAAAAAATTATTTAAGATATTTTTTATTAAGAACATCTTAAATAATATCCTTAAAAAAAATTAAAATGTTAGAAGGAAAAATCAAACTTACAATTTTATAGTTAATAGCTATATGCTTTAATCAATTAAGCTACTCTAATTTTTTTTATATTTTCTCTCTTAAATCTTATAAGTAATGAAATGAATTATTTAAAGTATTTTTTACTAAAAAAAATCTTAAATAATACGGTTCAAAAAATTGAAAGGTATTATTTAAAGTGTTTTTGATAAAAAAAAATCTTAAATAATGCTTTTCAAAAAATTTTAAGAGATTATTTAAGACATTTTTAGATAAAAACATCTTAAATAATCTCCAATTTAAGGCGTCTAAAAAGATATTTTTAAACAAAAAAATCTTAAATAATTTCCTTATATTTTTTAAAGGACATTATTTAAAGTATTTTTTTATAAAAAAATATTAAATAATCTACTTTAAAAAATATATTGAAAATTATTTAAAACATTTTTAGACAAAAATGCCTTAAATAATGAAATAATCTCCGATATTTTTTTATTGATGATATTTTATAAATAAAAATAGCAATCAAATAAAATATTTGTTTTCTTTTGTTGTTATAATTATCATTTGCCGTTTAAGTATTATTATTAATAAAAATTAATAAAAAGTTATCATTATATATGTTAAAAAAATTATGATAATTATTTAAGAATTAATATTTATCAATTCTTACAATTAAATAAATGAATTTGAATACGAAATGTCATAAAAATAAAATAAAACCTCAAATATCTCACTTTTTTGAAAATTATATTTTTTTTCGAAATTTAAAATTTCGTGAATCATAACTCCTTTTAAAATTCTTTAAAAGGTTCTCCAAGTTGCAAAATATTGTAAACGAAGTGCAACGGTACTCTACATTTCAATCCATTGCACAAGTGAATCCCACGAAAAGTTCTTGCGTTATGAATGGTATGAAAAGGTATTTCCAAAGTTAACAAGATTGGCCCACTTCTTAAAAGATGTGGATTTAGTTGACGGGTGGCTTTTGAATGTGAATAATAATACATTCATCGTCTTCAACTTCTTGATTCAGTGATCAAAATAACTTTAAAAAAGATATTAAGATTAGAGTTCGAACTTAAATTTTTCCCCACCCCTTAATGTAGGCTATGCCACTTGAATGACCCAAAAAAAAAAAAGAAAAAACTTTCTAGTCACTTGCAAGGATCTTTTTATCAGTTCAGCTAATGCTAAAAAGCTATGTTTCTACATTTGACTGTTTTAGTAAGCCTAGCGAGAGAAAGCCCATGATTGTGAATTCGTTAACCGAAGTGAGCAATGCTTTGAATGTTACTGCTCAACAGAGGAAGTCGGTGTGTCTATATTTGTCCACAGGTTACACAAGACAGGATATGGACAGGTGCCACTGAGGAAATATTGAAAGAGTTGAAATCAGAAATTGACTTATTGAATTGCCAATTCCCTAGTAAAGGACCTAAAGATGG